CTGCCGCTCGCCTCCCCATTCGCCTCCTCACCCAGCTTGCCCTCCCGCCTCACCTCCCCACCTGTGGGGCCCCCCCAAATTGCGGGGCCCAGGGCAGTTGCCCTGATTTGCTATACCCAAGACACGGCTCTGGGCAGGAAGGATAGGAAGATGCAGACTGGGGCAAGAGGGCATCTCATCCCCCTCGGGTGCCTGATCCACATACTCAGTCTACCACTGCTATCAGTTACTACATTAGCTCAAGTGGTAGAGGATATGCTGTGGATCTAAAAGTCCAAACACTGGTGATGACCCAAGCTGGGGGTTAATATGGTACCATGTGATGTAATATCTGTTTTTTCAGGTTGGTTTTTTTAAAATCAGGAATGATATTCCAAAAAACCGCATTAAAAGAACATTAAGGTTGTAAAGTCAAACACCCAGAAGTTAGGTTTCCTTGCAATCTTAATTAAGCCCCTTTGTGTGTAATACAATCTTTAATTACATGCTAACATATTATTTGTTCCACAGGACCCCTACCTCATTCAAAGTACAGAGTGAACTGGGAATGCTCTGGGAATGAATCAGCATTGTATAGTGAAGAAGGATATTGTTTTTAGGTCGTTTGCTTATTTGGTGCAGAAGTTGGAAGGTGTGTAGTGAATGAGACAAGATTACAGAAAGAAAGGATGGTCTTGGTTGAGGAAGTTGAATGCTACCCTGGAGAACTAGATGAATAGATTGTAAGGCTAGAAGGGACCACTGTGATTATCTAATCTGACTTTCTGCATAACACAGGTCACAGAATGAATAATTCCTGTTTGAACATATTAGAGTATATCTTTTTGAAAAACATCCAATCTTGATTTTAAAATGGCCACCAATGAAGAATCTACCACAACCCTTGGTAAATTGTTTCAATGTTTAATTAACCTCATTGTTAAAAATTTACATCTTATTTCCAGTCTGAATTTGTTTATCTTCAACTTCCAACTATGGGAACTTGTTATTCCTTTGTCTGCTAGACTGAAGAGCCCATTATTAAATATTGGTTCATCGGGTAGGTATTTATAAACTGATCAAGTCACCCCTTAACCTTCTTTTTGTGAGCTCTTTGAGACTAAATCTATGTAGCTTATTGCTATAAGGGCATGTCAGTACATGCGCTAGTGCATAGCAAACTGAGGTGTAAAATCTACAGTGCTCTAACACAGCACTAACTGGCTTTACAGACCTTTCTACCATGAACTAAAAGTTCTGTATTGTGCTCTTACCTACTGTTGTTTCAAACTGAACTTTTAGTATGTGGTCACAGGGTCCACATAGCCAGTTGTAGATTTACACCCCAGCTTGCTGAGCACTAACTCCTAGTATAGACAAGCTCTGAGGCATGTTTCCAATTTTTTAAACATTCTTCTACGGGCCCTTAGAGACTAAAACAAGTACTCCTTTTCTTTTTGCGGATACAGACTAACACGATTGCTACTCTGAAACCTAAATCTTTTTGTGATTCTGGGCCTCTGTTCCTATGTTCCCTATTTAAAATGGATGCTATTACCACCTCTTCTCACAGGGGCACTGTGTGAAATTCATTCATGTTTGTGGAGCAGTCAGATACTATGGGGAAGGCATCCCAGAAAGGCCGAGGAGGAAATTAATAAAGTTGGATTCAGGTGCAGGATTTGGATGGTGTGTGTTGAAGAAGAACTCCTTCAATTAAGATGATAAAAAGAAACAGTGAATGTATTCATTCAGTGAATGCAGTAGGGGTTGGTCCAGTGGAAAAAATAGTATGTGAGCATGTAATTAGACTGTATGAGAAAGCATAAGCACAAGGGGTCAACCTGAAGTCTAGCCGTGTGTGTGTAAAAACATTTTACACAGATTTCAGAGTAGCAGCCGTGTTAGTCTGTATCCGTAAAAAGAAAAGGGAGGACTTGTGGCACCTTAGAGACTAACAAATTTATTAGAGCATAAGCTTTCATGAGCTACAGCTCACTTGATGCAACCTTCCACACAAACTTCCTTGTGGCTGGACTTTACAAAAACTAGACAAGCGATTTACAACACACACTTTTCTTCTCTACAAAAGAAAAAGGACACTAAACTATCTAAACTACTACATGCCACAAGGGGCCACAACAGTGGTTCCCTTAACCCACCCAGCAATATTGTTAATCTATCCAACTATACTCTTAGCCCAGCAGAAGAATCTGTCCTATCTCGGGGCCTCTCCTTCTGTCCCTCCACCCCCACGAACATGATACAGTTCTGTGGTGACCTAAAATCCTATTTTTGACGCCTCCGACTCAAGGAATATTTCCAACACACCTCTGAATAACATACTAACCCACAGAGAGCTTTCTACCAAGACTACAAAAAGAAGGATTCTGGGTGGACTCCTCCTGAAGGTCGAAACAACAGACTGGACTTCTACATAGAGTGCTTCCGCTGACGTGCACGGGCTGAAATTGTGGAAAAGCAGCATCACTTGCCCCATAACCTCAGCCGTGCAGAACACAATGCCATCCACAGCCTCAGAAACAACTCTGACATCATAATCAAAAAGGCTGACAAAAGAGGTGCTGTCGTCATCATGAATAGGTCGGAATATGAACAAGAGGCTGCTAGGCAGCTCTTCAACACCACTTTCTACAAGCTATTACCCTCTGATCCCACTGAGGGTTACCAAAAGAAACTACAGCACTTGCTCAAGAAACTCCCTGAAAAAGCACAAGAACAAATCCGCACAGACACACCCCTGGAACCCCAACTGGGGTATTCTATCTGCTACCCAAGATCCATAAACCTGGAAATCCTGGACGCCCCATCATCTCAGGCATTGGCACCCTGACAGCAGGATTCTCTGGCTGTGTAGACTCCCTCCTCAGACCCTACGCTACCAGCACTCCCAGCTACCTTCGAGACACCACTAACTTCCTGAGGAAACTACAATCCATCGGTGATCTTCCTGAAAACACCATCCTGGCCACTATGGATGTAGAAGCCCTCTACACCAACATTCCACACAAAGATGGACTACAAGCCATAAGGAACAGTATCCCTGATAATATTACGGCAAACCTGGTGGCTGAACTTTGTGACTTTGTCCTCACCCATAACTATTTCACTATTTCACTCTACTTGTGCTACACTGATGACATCTTCATCATCTGAACCCATTGAAAAGAAGCCCTTGAGGAATTCCACCATGATTTCAACAATTTCCATCCCACCATCAACCTCAGCCTGGACCAGTCCACACAAGAGATCCACTTCCTGGACACTACGGTGCTAATAAGTGACGGTCACATAAACACCACCCTATACTGGAAACCTACTGACCGCTATTCCTACCTACATGCCTCCAGCTTTCATCCAGTCCACACCACACGATCCATTGTCTACAGCCAAGCTCTACGATACAACCGCATTTGCTCCAACCCCTCAGACAGAGACAAACACCTACAAGATCTCTATCTTACAACTACAATACCCACCTGCTGAAGTGAAGAAACAGGTTGACAGAGCCAGAAGAGTACCCAGAAGTCACCTACTACAGGACAGGCCCAACAAAGAAAATAACAAAACGCCACTAGCCATCACCTTCAGCCCCCAACTAAAACTTCTCCAACGCGTCATCAAGGATCTACAACCTATCCTGAAGGATAATCCATAACTCTCACAGATCTTGGGAGACAGGCCAGTCCTTGCTTAAAGACAGTCCCCCAACCTGAAGCAAATACTCACCAGCAACCACACATCACACAACAGAACCACTAACCCAGGAACCTATCCTTGCAACAAAGCCCATTGCCAACTGTGTCCACAATCTATTCAGGGGACACCATCATAGGGCCTAATCACATCAGCCACACTATCAGAGGCTCGTTCACCTGCACATCTACCAATGTGATATATGCCATCATGTGCCAGCAATGCCCCTCTGCCATGTACATTGGTCAAACTGGACAGTCTCTACATAGAAGAATAAATAGACACAAATCAGACGTCAAGAATTATAACATTCAAAAACTAGTAAGAGAACACTTCAATCTCTCTGGTCACTCGATTACAGACCTAAAAGTGGCAATACTTCAACAAAAAAACTTCAAAAACAGACTCCAACGAGAGACTGCTGAATTGGAATTAATTTGCAAACTGGATACAATTAACTTAGGCTTGAATAGAGACTGGGAGTGGATGTGTCATTACACAAAGTAAAACTATTTCCCCATGTTTATCCCCGCCCCCACTGTTCCTCAAGACGTTCTTGTCAACTGCTGGAAATGGCCCACCTTGATTATCACTACAAAAGGTCCCTCGCCCCCCGCTAGTAATAGCTCACCTTAAGTGATCACTGGCCCACCTTGATTATCATACACATTGTAAGGAGAGTGGTCAGTTTGGATGAGCTATTACCAGCAGGAGAGTGAGTTTGGGGGGGGGGGGGGTGAGAAAACCTGGATTTGTGCTGGAAATGGCCCACCTTGATTATCATGCACATTGTAGGGAGAGTGGTCACTTTGGATAAGCTGTTACCAGCAGGAGAGTGAGTTTGTGTGTGGGGGGGCGAAGGGTGAGAAAACCTGGATTTGTGCTGGAAATGGCCCACCTTGATTATCATACACATTGTAAGGAGAGTGATCACTTTAGATAAGCTATTACCAGCAGGACAGTGGGGTGGGAGGAGGTATTGTTTCATGGTCTCTGTGTATATAATGTCTTCTGCAGTTTCCACAGTATGCATCCGATGAAGTGAGCTGTAGCTCACGAAAGCTCATGCTCAAATAAATTTGTTACTCTGTAAGGTGCCACAAGTCCTCCTTTTCTTTTTGCGAAGACAGACTAACACGGCTGCTACTCTGAAATCTAATAAATTTGTTAGTCTCTAAGGTGCCACAATCTGCCTGTTCTTTTTACACAGAGCTCTTCACCTAAGGCCTCTGTTTTAGAGCAGGGCAAAGCACCAGCCATAGGCAAGAAAAGGTAGGGCAGCGTGGGTGCTGTGGGCCTGGCAATACCCTACGTTTCCCATGAGGGGGCAGCACGCCCGTGTGTTACGATGCGGCGTCCACAGAGAGGAAGCAAGCGCGGGGCTTGGAAGCGTTGTAAGCAGGGCCGCTCCGGTGCACGCCCCGGGGCCCTCCCTCAGGCAGGGGCTCCGGCTCAGCAGCAGCAGGAGGCGCGCGGAGGAGAGTGCAGAGGGCGTTGGAGGCTGGAGCCGGGGAGGTCTGTTCAGGTACAAAGGGCTCCTGGGCTCGGCCGGCCTGCAGGGGCGCTTCCCCCTTTCCACCAAGGAGCCCGGACGCCTGGCTTGGGGGCAGCCGGTGTCGGTGTCTCTGCAGAGGAACGGACGGGACGGGAGGAGCTGCAGTCCTTCGCCGGGACTCGGGAGAGGACATGAACGCGCAGCTGCTAATGCCCTGCGGAGGCAAGCGCGAGGTGTGCGGGGAGAGGTGCCCAGCTTGTCCCCCGGGATCCCCCGCTGGTCAGAGCCTCCCTCCCGCCACTCCCCGCGCGCGATGGTGAAAGTTCCCGCGGGGCCAGAGCCGGGTTCTCAGCTGCAGCCCTGCGCGGTCTGCAAAGCGCGACCCCCGCCTTGCGCCAGCGCTTTGACATTCCCTGGGAGGGCACGGAAAGGGGGGAGGGGGCTGCCCTCTCCCACCACCCAGCTGTGCCTGAGAGCGGCCCCGGCCACACCCCCGTTTGCACGGGGCAGAGCAGGGTCTCGCCAGGCCTACGCAGCAGGCTGAGGTGGGCAGTATTGGTCTGCGTGGTTACTAGAGCACCCTAACCAGGGCGGAGCGGGGCTGCTTTCGGGTTCACCCCCTTCTAGAGTGTGCGCACTTGTGTCCCCCTCTCTAGTGCTGACAGGTCAAACACCACTGGACTTGAACAACCCCGTCTCACTCCCACTTAGTTCTGGCCTTACTGCTTGGTGAAGTGCCTAGGCCAGATTACAGCTGGAAGATGGGATGCAACATAAAAAGGAAAGTGACCTGCTATGTTGGTGCCAAGTTATTGATCGTAACTGGGACTGCTTGTCACCCTGTAAAGCTAGTCACCGCTTCAGAGTTGGCGTGATGGGGCCTTTGGGTAGTGAGCTCTAGGCCGGCGGACCACAGGACAGATCTTGGCAGCTTTGGTGCTCTGTGCTGGGGCAAAGGTGTGCCTGTGTGGAACTCATTGCAGGACGAGGAGCCCTAGATTGTACCCTCTTCAAACCATGTCTCTACCTGCGGGGTTTGTAGGCCTCTAGTGCGTATCTCGAGGGTCAAAATAAGTGCAGTCATAATGTTGGTGGTTAAATTATAACACGTGTTTGATCAACTCTCTCCCTGCCTACTCTGTGTTTTGTTTTTTAACATTTAAGATCTAGAAAACCCCCTTCCCAGGACACAACCCAAGGCAGATGGAGAAAGGAATGAGCAGAAAGGAGGAGGCTAGCTCTTTGGTTGGGAAGGGGGGAGATTTTATCTACATAGGAATAGCAAACTTTTGCGTGATTTTTTTTTTACACATTTAATGTTTTTACTATGGGATTTTTAATGTAACACTCCATTATTTGTAGTTCCGTATTTGGTGAATTATATTACTTATTTGTATAGCACCCAAAAGTGTGCAAGGAACTTTGCAGAAGGGACAGGCCAGCAATAATACCTAGCTCTGGTATAACACTAGCACTTTTCATCAGCAGAGCTCAAAACATGTTTTTATATCATGCGGTAAAAAGGAGGTCAGTATCATTGTCGCCATTTTACTCATGGAGAGATTGCTTGTTCCCCTCCCTGTGCCTGAGAGAGCGAGCTCCCTACCCCAGTCAGTTTACTGCCTGTAGCTTCTCAGGCCCTAATCTTGGCAAGGACTTGCTCATGCGCATAAGTCTCTGAAGGACTGGAGCCTAATTTTAGATATGCCACAATGTGTAAGGTAAAAGGGCATAGACAGCTAGGAAGATGTGAGAAGGAACAAGAATTACAGTAAAAAGATCACACAGTCAGGCCTGCCCAAAGGGGACAATTGCTCAGGGTCCCGGGCGATTTAAAAGGGCCCAGGGCCCCTGGCCGCCGCTGCTGCCACTGTGGTGGTGGTGGTGGCAGTGGCCAGGAGCCCTGAGCCCTTTTGAATCACCCAGGCAGGCTGCAGGGCTCAGAGGCGACGCTGGGGTGGGGAGACAGGAAGGTCGGCCACCCACCTGCCCTCCCCAGATGCCCGCTTGGGCAACTTGTCGACCACAGCCAGCCCCAGCTGGGGAGTGGAAGGACAGGGCCAGAGCTGGAAGGGAAGAGGCAGGGCCAGAGCCTCTCTTCTTCCGGCCACGCTGCCCAGTGCAGTGCAGCGGCTGCCCCGGGGGCTCAGCTTGTCTAGGGACAGTGACCGAGAGAGCTGGAGCCCTTCCTGGCATGCTCAGAGTCAGCTCCTGTCCCCAGAGGCTGAGCCTGGGCAAGGCAGGGAACGGCAACAGCGGCAGCCCTCTCCCTGCCCAGGGTCAGCTTCTGGGGACAGGAGCCAACTCTGAGCATGCCGGGGAGGGCAGGGGAGCCCTGGGTCACTGGCCCACGGTCACCAGAAGCTGAGCCCGGGGCGGGGGTGGCCTGCTGCTGCCGCAGCCAGGAGCTCTCCCAGGCAGCTGCTGTGCTGCACCGGGCAGCATCCAGGAGTGGCTCTGGAGCCTGGCTACCAGAAGAGCAGCCGAACAGCCAGGGGGAGCCGGGCCGGCACAGCAGCAGGACAGAGCACCATGCTCAGCTAACATGGTATGGGGAGGAGGGGACGGGGAGAGCGCGAGGGCCCCAAGCTGGGGGCAGGGTGGGGAAAAGTCACATGGGAGGTCATGCAGGAGGGGTCACGTGGGGGTGTCACATGTCCCCCTTCTTAGTTGGTGCCCCCATTTGTGTCCCTCCCGCTAGTTGCCTCTGGCAGGGCCAGCGCAGCACTGCTCACACATCAGGAGGACCAGGGGCCCATTGACTGTTCAGCTGTGGGGCCTAGAATTGTTGTCGGTGGGTCAGCCAGTTTAAGCACATTTTGAATATTGCCACAATACTGAAACTTGTAACTTATTATTTATTATTGTTTGGGATCCTCATGGATAGCACTTCATAATCCTAAACAGGAAAACTATTTTTAAAGCAGAATTTGTCCTTCATTGTTGCAATTTGTTGTCTTTTTTAGAGTTGTGATCATGGCTATTGACTGGATTGGTTTTTGTTATGCGGCAGTGGTGGCTCTTGGCGGCGTTGTAGGATATACTCGCAAAGGTAAATGTGGGGGTGGCAGGATTTGGAAATGGAGGGATTGATTCTCTACTGCCTTACACCTTGTGAAGTCATTTACACCAATGCAAAGGGGATAAATTGCTCCTAAACCAGAATGATGGTATTTTAAATCCACTTCACGCTAGTGTAAATGGCTACAAGTCAGATCCTGACAAGTAGTTCAGACCAAGTCAGGAAAGAATTACTGCATCTGCTGTCTAGATAAGTGGTGGGCAACCTGCGGCCCATCAGGGTAATCCGCTGGTGGGCCGTGAGACAGTTTGTTTACGTTGACTGTCCACAGGCACGGCTGCCTGCAGCTCCCAGTGGCCGCGGTTCGCCATTTCCAGCCAATGGGAGCTGCAGGAAGCAGCGTGGGCACCCAGGGCTCCGCTCCCTCACCCAGCTGTGGTCCCGGCCTTGGCCCCCTTACCCCTGTCCACGTCCCTCCCCTCCTGGAGCCGCGGCCCTGCTCCCTGCCCCAGGTGGGGGAGTATGGACGGGGTAAAGGGCGGCACGAGGTAAAAGGTTTGGGGATCACTGTTCTGCAGTGATGGAAGAATCCCTTTTGTCTCTGTAGTAAGTGTCTACCCTACATAGGCACAGCGCCGTAGTGTTTCTAGTGTAGACATATCCTAAAACAGAACTCAATAGAGAATCTGGTGTATGGACTTCACAATACCCAGCATTGGGACTTTTATTTATTTATTTATTTATTTTATTTTCATTTTAGCAGTTCTTTTAATGGGTGACACACAGGAGACCATTCTATTCTTGCATCTTTTCAATGGTTTCTTCTTTGTATTTGCCCTTCTCCTTGTCAACTTGGCCAGACTTATCAGGCTGTTATACAAGACCTACTCTTTGAAAATTACATAGTAAAAATTATTCTTTTCCAGAGTAATTTGTAGCCAAAATGTGGGAAAACGCCAGTTCATCTCAGATTTTAGTTGTAGCAGCAAAGTATACAGTAAATTGTCTAATAATAATAATAAGGTATTCTGTAGTCTATTTTTTTCAGTTGTTCCTCACGTTTTCATTTTCATATTCCTTTAAATGGTTTGCTGCAGGAAGTATAGTCTCTTTGGCTGCTGGTCTCTTCTTTGGTTTGGTGTCTGGTTATGGAGCATATTGTGTAACACATGACTCCAGAGATGTGAAGATATCATTTTGTAAGTATTAAAATGTGTACAGTTTTAAAATAGACTTTTACATTAATGAAAGACTGTTCAAAATACATATTCTGTTTAATTTTTTGCATCGTATGACACCTCAGTCTTCCTGACAGTTTAACTAGTTAGACACTTTGTTTCAATTTAGTCTTTTAAAGTTGGAGGCTTTATACATACAAAATACAGGTAATAGGATATGACAGATGTTTGACCAACTTCTGTTGGTGGACGGTACAAGCTTTCAAGCTCCACAGAGTTCTTCTTCAAGTCTGGGGAAGGTAACCAGAGTTTCTAAGCTGCACATGCTGCAGGAGGCCACTTAAAATGAAGTGGGCAATTAAGGGTTATCTCACCTATCTTGTCTCATATCCTGGAACTAACAAGGCTACAACAATGCTGCAGACAGGTAAATGTTCTCTTTACATATACACCTCTACCCTGATATAACGCTGTCCTCGGGAGCCAAAAAATCTTAGCGCGTTATAGGTGAAACTGCATTACATCGAACTTGCTTTGATCCACTGGAGCGCGCAGCCCCGCCCCCTCGGAGCGCTGCTTTACCGCATTATATCCGAATTTGTGTTATATCAGGTCACGTTATATTGGGGTAGAGGTGTATTTTAAAAACTCTCTTCTACTGTTAGATTTTTTTAAAAAAATTGTTTTTGACTGCTTGCAAAGGTCTGAGCCTGCAAAAACCTACATGCATGTTTAACTTTGTGCATGGCAACAGCCCTAGTGACTCTGGAGCTCAATAAGATGATGTAGGTCTGATAAAGCTAAGCATGTGCATAAGTTTTTACAGGATCTAGGCCTAAAAAACAATAGTCACAACTATCTCCATCTCCAACTCTGATTGTAACAAGGGTATCCTATAATAAATGGTAATGCAGGGGTCGGCAGCCTTTCAGAAGTGGTGTGCCGAGTCTTTGTTTATTCACTCTAATTTAAGGTTTCGCATGACAGCAATACATTTTAACGTTTTTAGAAGGTCTCTTTATATAAGTCTATAATATATAACTAAACTATTGTTGCATGTAAAGTAGATAAGGGAAAATGTTTAAGAAGCTTCATTTAAAGTTAAATTAAAATGCAGAGCCCCCCGGACTGGTGGCCAGGACCCGGGCATTGTGAGTGCCACTGAAAATCAGCTCGCGTGCCGCTTTGGCACACATGCCATAGGTTGCCTACCCCTGGGTAATGCTTTGCTAGGAAACCAGGATAGTAGCACTCTTACTTTTTACATGTATGGGAAATTATACCATACAAACACAAAAGGCGTGTGTTACCAGATTTGCCCGTTACTTTGGGGTATGTTCATTTATGAGGGTAACTCTTTGGGGTGGGGTATTCTGTAATTCTATCAATGTACTGCTTGTGTTTTCATCCAGAGCTCTACTTCTCCCTGCTGCAAGTTCCCTCCCAATGGAGCTCTCCTGCAAGGACGTAGGTTCCCCAGAGCTGGGTTCCTCCTGCCCCAGAACCAGTTGAACACACACACACATATATTAACAGAGCGCATCTGAGCGGACTGGGTCAATCAGCACTCCCAAGCTGACCCTTTATGTCCCTGGACTCAGCAGGCTGGGTCGAACAGCACTTCCAGGCTGACACCCTCATATGCCACACATTGTGGTGGGGGGGAAGCAACCAGCTTAATCATAAAAGTTATTTATTGCCAAGTAATAACCATACAAGGAGAGCCAAACAAACAAAACAGTTACAGTATTAAATCTATCTTAAATTTCTTAAATTTCATTACAAAAGTCAGGTTTAGAAAACTATTAGTGATCACACAAGTCAGGGTTAGAAAGCTATACCTAGAATAGAAAAAAAAAAACAAAAAAACCCAGCAGAGAGAGAGAATTGGGTTCTCACCACTCTGAAGCTTGAACCGGTCAGGGTTCCCAGGTGGTGGTGGTAGCTGAGGGTCCAGAGTGCTGGAGACAGGCAGAGCCCCCAGCACAGTCAGTGAGGAGAAGATGAAGTCCCAATAGAACTGATGCAGATTTTGGATCCAGGCATCAGAACCCTTATTTGAGCGTGGGTAGGGGTTTTTGTAGGGAAATGACGATGGTTCAAGGGAGAACACTAGATTTGTTTATGGGTAAACTGGTGGCTCAAGGGAGTATACCAATGTTGTTTGTTCAGGCTGGACAATAGGAACTGATCATTCCTGGCTATGGGTGGTGTTTCTTCGAGGGAGCTCACAATGCAAGTAGGCAGCTTCAGTATTTTGGATACCAATAAAGGATTTATTACAAGAATTTGTCTAATAACTACTGAGCTGGGTGTGTGCAGGCGTGGGTTCATTAACATCTGGAGGAGAGATACCCCATCATGCAGTGCTTCCCTGCTTTTCTGGTCCCAGAGTTCAGTGCAGTTCTTGCCTTCGAATCTCTGTTCTCTATTCTGTATGCTAATAGAGATGCCTCCCTGTTCTATTCTCGATGCAATTGAGGCTAGGGGAGTTGCCTTAATCCTGTCACCCTTGTTCCAGAGGGGTTTAGGTGTGTCTTTCGCTACCTTCTCATTGCTTTTTGTAAGTCTCTTTCTTCTGATTGGTTTTGGTTCAAGCAGAGACTATGGAGGGGTGGGGGGGAGATGTCCTTCCTGAGTCAGGCAGGCTGGATACTGGGCCTGATTTCACAAGAACACAGAGCTGACAGAGAACATGAGTTTCCATCTTCAGTGTTTTTATAAATACATTGTATACTATGCTCTGACTTCCTTGAACTCTTGAATTCAGATTTCTATGACTGGAGCAGTTGTGAGAATTTAGGCCTAAATATTCAGAAATAGTCCATCGTTTTTGAGTGCTGAATTTGAGACGCCTGAAGCCTGATTTTTCTTAGGTGGCTGAGTGCCTACAGCTCCCATTGGCTTCACTTGGAGCTGGGGGTGCTCAGCACCTATGAAAATTGGACCCAAGGTGTCTCAGCATTCTTGAATAATCCAGGCACGGGTGCCTGGTCAGTAGAGCCTTTATGAAATGGACACACTTTTTAACCTGGAATGGTGGTAAGTATATTCAGGGCTATAGGCGAAGCTCATGTGATGGAGCAGTCTTGTTTTTGCTGAGGCACATGCCTGAGGTCAGATTATGGGAGCATAAAAGAAAAGCGGTGATTAGAAATCACTTTTGCTTCATTGCTCAGTGAGTGTATGCTTAGTGAGTGGAATTTTATGATCTGTGTGTAGCTGTCAGAACTTGTCTTAGTATTGTGGGATGAGCCTAAAGAATAAGTTTATGCTCCCTTCCCAAGCAAATTCTTGTCCACTGTGACTACACTGCTGTGCATAGGGCTGGCTTGTGGGTTCTGGAAAGGGATACTTTGGGTTGCTCCATAATAAAAGAGGAGGAATTTAGCTTCACTGCCAGCTGCAGGAGAAGTAGAGGCCTGTTGCCTATGGTGAGACCCATGTTCTTGCCGACACTTAAAAATTATTTCAAGTGATAGTTCTTCATCTCCCCCCACCCTCCCAAATAGCTGTCTGTATTTTCTGGTGAATCTTTCCATTCATATAGCATTCTGCTAATGTATCAAAAACCCCTATGATGAACAGTTAAGGATTCACTGGCATTTCCATTTTACAGATGGGGAAAGAGTGGTAGGAACATTGTATGATTCCCCCAGTAGCCTTAATTATGCCAGTGTTGGAGTTGGGGTTAGAACCTGTATTACACTGCATCAGATACCCTGTCACACTACTGAGCTATCCCATCTCTTTTAGGCCAATGTGTGGCATTGGCCAATGTCAGAGGAACTAACTGGGCTGGAACTTTTGGCTCCCCTGATGCCATTAGTGGCAACTCAGATGGCACTGCTTCTCACAGCCAAGAATTGGTGTCAGGTCTGCCCCCCCCCGTGAACCAAAGAGCCTGGGGCCATGTCATAGGCCACATCAATAGCAATGTTCTTTAGGGAAAATATGTGACAAGCAGCTGTTTATATTTTCAAGGCAAACTTTGCAACTAAAAGACTTAACTTTTTTTTATTGAAAGCAGAGATTAGCCTTAGCATTTATAGGTTCCTGAAACTGGGGGTTGGGAAAGGAGCTATATGATGCAGGGATTTGTGAGGCAGTGTCAGTCAACTGGTACAATGTGTAGTGGCTTATACAACTCTCCTAATTGCTCTTTGCATGCAAATGTAGCGGAATAATTCACACTGTTTGACAGTGTTAGGAGTGTCTGCAAAGTAAGATTCTGCATGTTTCTATATTTAGAAATGTTACTTACAGCTGAGAAAATCAGAATACTGTATTTTGAAAGATTTTGGGGACTGTAGGTTAAATTAACAGCGCACAGTTGTTCCATCTCTAGATCTCAAAATACTCGACAAAGGAGGTAAGCATCATTACCCCCATTTTACAGATGGGGAAACTGAGGCACAAGGAATTGCCAAGTGTTAACTAACAATCTAGTGACTGAGCCAGGACAAGAACCCAGGTCTCCTGAGTTCTAGTCTGATGCTTTATCCGTTAGGCCAAACATGTAGCTTGGTGCAATATGCTGTTAGACCAGGGAGAGTTCTATCACATAAAGTTTCACAGCAGAAGGTAGTGAAAAGTGTATTTGGTAGTCCTTTGATAAGTAACCACAATCTTGAAAATTCCACTGATGAATAGTGTTGGGGAAAACAGTAAATATGGTGTTGATTTGTCTGTTACAGTTTCAGCTTTTATTTTGACCATTGTAATGGGAATGAGGTTCAAGAGATCCAAGAAACTAATTCCGGGTGGACTAATAGCTGGTTTAAGGTAGGTGTGTATATTTATGTTCACTTCCTGCTGCAATGATTTCAGCCTATTTCAAATGGTAGCCAGTTGACATCCAATCCAAGAACTTGGTGATTGAAGTTGTTACTATCCAGTGATTGTTAGATGGACTAAATGAAATGACCATGAAGTCCAGTTTCCAGTAGACAGCTGTCCACAAAAAATGCACATCTGATAGTAATTGGGAGCCTCGGAAAAGAGGATACTAACAGTTAGGTATCAGTGTGTATTGATGAAGGCCTTAAAAAGTATGTGAGGTAATTATGTGCCAAAGTTTTCAAACAGGAATACTTAAATTTGGGCTCTTAAGTTCATATTCAGTGACCTAAAGAAAAATGGCCTGGCTTTTCAGAAGTTCTGAGCAAATTTCACTGTAGTCCATGGAAGATGTAGGTGCGTTGAAAATAAGGCTACTTTTATTTAGTTGTCTTGATTTAGGTAGCCAGGTTTGAAAATTTTGGCCAGTATTACTGCATATGATGACTCAACTGTTTCATTCTCTGCTGCTGTTCTTTATTCTTACATATAAAGAACAATTTCCATATTTATTCCCTAATTTGGTTCCATAGTAATTCCAAACTTATTCTCTGTGACTCCATCTCGCAAAACATTTTTCAGTTTGCAGGTAAATTGTTTTTCTAACTGTTCATACTGCAAGATGAACGTGCAAATCAATTTTTTCCTACATTTTACATCATCCTTATTGAATGATTTAGCTGTGAGAACTTTCATTGATGGTGCATGCAATAGAATAAAAAATATCCTCCTTTCTCGGAGCTATAGTGTCTGTGCATGGCTAACAAAGATACGCATCAACCAAACCGTCAGCTCGGATCTCATGGTAGAATCTTCAGTAGGGATTCATAAATTTTAAGGCCCCAAGTAAATATTATGATCATAATACAAGCCACAGAATTTCACCCAGTAATTCCTGCCACAAACCCTTAACTTCTGGCGGAGCTAAAGTATTGTCAAGTGATGTAAGATGCAGAAAGTATTCGGGTCGATATTCAGGTCCTAGGCTGAATTTGCAGGGAAGATACTTAGAAATATCTTTTTAACTTGTAAAAAGAAATTGTATATGTTGTCACTGAGAGAATAAATATGGAAGTCTGGTGTCACTCTTCTGACAATAACTGCATTTCATGCATGCAGGCCATGAATAAAACAATCCCCTTAGATTAATTATGGTGTCTTCATTAACATCTAGTACAGAACTCTTTGTACGGCTAAACCAGCTCACTACTAAAACTAAACATACTGGATGAAATTCTGCTCTGAATTCACTGGGGCTACCCAGAGTGCAAGTCAAGACTAAGACTGTGTTTCAAAATGGAACCATTGCTGGCAACTGTTTATCAGCAAACTTTGCAAGTGAACTAGTGCAACTGCAAGTGTAGATAAGGTGAAACCATGTTCAGCATCATTTCAACTAACTGTTGTAAACAACGGCTCCATTTCCAAGTGCAGACGCAGCCAAATACTCTGTTTTAACCCATATAGGGTTAAAAGATACTTAAGCATTTCACACCACTCTTAATTAAATCTTCCTTGTAGCAACTCTGTGTTGGACTGTGCCTTTTACTGTATTTATTGAAACACTGTGAAGACTATTTCAGTTAGAACATGAACTTTATGCCTGGACATGAGCACTTTGTCTGGAAATCATTAAAACATGCGAAAGAATTCTGGTAACTTTGAAACCTAGAACACACTGGAAAAGCAATTCAGTATTTTTGTTTTCAAAATCTCTCCCTCTAATGGATCAAAACTTAGAAGAGTGGTGTCTCCAATCATGTATACCTTAATTATATTCATATAACTCAGGGGTGAGCAAACTTTTTGGCCCGAGGGCCACATCGGGGGTACAAAACTGTATGGAGGGCCGGGTAGGGAAGGCTGTGCCTCCCCAAACAGCCTGGCCCCGGCCCCTATCTGCCCCCTTCCACTTCCCACCCCCTGACTGCTCTCCTCAGAACCCCCGACCTATCCAACGCTCCTTGTCCCTTGACAGCCCCCTCCCGGGACCCCCGCCCCTAACCGCCCCCTGGGATCCCACCACCTGTCCAACACGCCAATCAACCCCCCCTGCTCCTCGTCCCCTGACTGCCCCGACCCCTATCCACACCCCCATCCAACGCCCCCCGTTCCCTGACCGCCACCTCTCCACCCCATCCAACCATTCCCTGTCCTCTGCCCCTTATCCAACCCCCTCCCCGCCCCCTGACCATGCCAGAGCTAGTCATGCCGCTGCACTGCCTGGCAGGAGCTCAGCCCCGCCGCCCAGAGCGCTGGCGGCATGGCGAGCTGCAGGGCAGGGGGAACAGTGGGGGTGGGGCCGGGGGCTAGCCTCTCCGTCCGGGAGCTCAGGGGCCAGGCAGGATGGTCCCGTGAGCCATAGTTTGCCCACCTCTGATATAACTCCATTCACACAATTATAGGTGACAGGAGAATCAGGCCCAAAAGATCTAGAAGATTGCACTTTCTAGAACCCGTAAGTCCCGATTCTCACTAGTGTTATATTGGTGTAATTTCACTGACATCTTCCAAGGTATGCTGGTATACAATTGGTAAATGCAATGGAGAACCAGATTCCAGAGGTACTTTAACAGATTTTAGGCTCCAGATTCTTTCATCTGTACCCAATAGCAAATTCAGGAATGGGCTTTATGCTATTTGATTGTTCATACCCAAACTTTGTGTTTTTTACTTTTGTTCTGTGTTTTGATGCAGCCTTTTGATGATTTTGAGATTGGTTTTTCTGCTGCTGTAAGAGACAACAGCAACTAAGGACTGAAGTAGGAGGATCATTTCCCTTCAACAAGCAGACAAGCTATTTGTACTTGAAGTATGTCTGTCTGGTTTTTGTGTTTTTTTTCACTGTAAAAGTTAACAAATATATCTGAAATTTAATTCCTCAAAGTTCTTTCATATGTTGAAAGCTTTTTCAATTAAACAAGAAGGTTTTTGATAGTTTGTATCATTGTTTTCATTTAAGCAATTTATTGGCTGGATTTTTTTTTTCCAGAGGTGCTGAGGGGGCATAGCACCACAAAGAAATCAGTGGATGTTAGAAATGTTCTGCCCCTTTGAAACTTGAGCTATGTTTGGATGTGTCACTAAACTAAAAAGGGGTATAGTATTAAACCATAATCTTGGAAGCTTCTAATATCAAGTAATCAATAGAAGCTCGACATAACATGCAAACTAAAGTCTTGTCAATATTGATCATGTAATGCACTGTGTTTTATCAAAATCACTAACAGATGAGGGTATATGCTTCTGCTCCATATTGCACTGGAATATATTTTGTTTCCAAACATGTAAATATCTTCTTCCACTGGATAGAGAATGTATAAATTGTTACCAGTAATCAAATAAAAGATGGAACATTTAAAGCAGTTTCTCTTTTAATCTTTCATGTTGACCAACAAACTCCAGAGACCATTATTTGTAGTGTCACCTGTGAATGGAAAAGTTTTGATTGGTAGCTGTGTACACTTTACCTACTAAGGGTCCAATTCAGTAAGGTGCCCTCAACTTCTATTGAAATGAATGGAAGTTGAAGAATGCTGAACGTTTTGCAGGATTGGGTCCTAAAAATCTCACTTCCAAACAAAACATGCCCAGTTTGCAGTTGTGATATGAAGCTGACTCTCAGAATTGAGTGGAGCTGCACAGGGATTCACTTCACCTCTTTACAATAACACTCCCGCACCAGCGTCTGGATATTTCCAGCAGCTAACTGTAGTTGGCTTCTGGCTGATCAGCGAGGGCTGCAGCTCTCCCTGTAGCTTCAAGGGATGACTGACTGGCCTTGTCCTAGCTCTTCATAGGGCAACTTTGCTACTTGTTTCTTGAACATTTGAGGAGGTGCCAGTAACACTGTGCCTCCCTCTTCGCCACATGCAGTAGGGGTTCCTGGGAAGGGGAAGGAAGGCAGAACTCCTGTTCCTCAGAAAGATTGGTTGAGAAGACTTTATAATTAGTACCACTGTGTTTTTTCGTTTAATGTGGTTAGAACAGCAGTTCTCAAACTGTGGGTCCCAACCCCATTTGAATGGGTTTGCCAGGGCTGGCTTAGACTTGCCTAGATCTTAGACTAATATCTGTGAACACAGACACTGTGTGTTGCTTCTGCCTAGCCAGGTGGGTTTGTTAGTACAATGGGAACAGATAAGAACAGCTACAGTGTTACTGGGCACGGTGGGAGTATAATATACGAGTGCGCACTTTTAGACTGCCTCAACTCCTATCTCAAGGCAAGGTCAAGCAACCAGCTGGGAAGGGCAAGGGAGGATGTGTGTTGTGGGGAGCAAGGGGCAGACATAAACAAGAAAAGCCTGGCCTTGGCCAGTACACAACCTCACTCCTTACCCCTCCCATGGGATACAAAAGAGGTGGGAGGAAGACCTCCCTCCCACCCCAGACTCATGACCCTTCAAAATGGAACATGACCATAAGTTGTAAGGGGTGGCATTGCACGTACATTTGGCCCTGCTAAGGAGGAGGAGGTGGGAATGAGGAACAGAGACACAGGCAAGGCTCTGTAGCGTCAGAGCTGGGAAGGGGGATGCTATGTAAATGCTTTGCAGCATCAGAGCTGGGAATGGAACACTGAGAAACAGACTCTGCGGGCTTGAAGAGCTATGGATATGCTTGCTTACAACTAAACCCAATAAACATCGCATTGCCAGCACTTCTGGTCTTCTGCTTTTTGTCTGCGTGACAGGAACCAGGGGAGGAGGTGAAGGGAAAGCCCTCTAACACTCAAGGTACAGGCCTCGTGCCTGGTGCTGAGGCCCTTGGTCTTCCGCTTTGGACCTCATCCCTAAGGCGGAGGGGGCTTGGGTGGGCTCAGGCTTTGGTCTTCCCTGCTGGGGTCATGTAGTAATTTTTATTGTCAGAAGGGGGTTGCGGTGTAATGAAGTTTGATGAACCCCTGGATTAGAACAGTGGATGAAAAGGGTTTAAGGTGTTGCTTGTTTCCATGCAATACTCAGAGCTGTGCATTCTCTCCTGCAACTAGGAGCCTAAGTCAGGTCAGCCTTTTTTCAAAAAAAACACACATGCCAGTCACCCTAACCTCCAGCCCATTGTAGCTACTAGGTCTCTAAGATCCTTGTTTTCAAATCCCACTTCTGCCTGCTTTGGGGCAAGGACTTGAAGTTGGGTCTCCCACAACCCAGGGGAGTGCCCTGACCACCAGGATACAATGTCCATCTCTCTCTCTGACCCAGTGAAAATTTATTGATACAGAGTGGAACAACTTCAACAGGGAGATCAAGATTCAGCCCATAATACCCAGGGGCTAGGATACTGGAGAACTGGATTCTAGTCCCTGCTCCAAAAAAGGTCACCCACATCCCAGGAGAATGTCTTGATCACTGGTTCTTACTACCCATGCCCATTCCCAGTTAGGTTGTTCATGGGTGTGTTTTGGGAAGATGATCTGAATATATAGGCAGGGAAGATGTAGTTTGAGAATCCCCCTAGGGCTTAGGTGTTATCCAGCAATGGGCACCTAGAGGACTTTGCTAGCAGAAATTTAGGGCACCTCCAGCATTAGGCAGCAGCTTTTGGGGAGGTTTAAAGGTGTTAAATTCCTCTAGGGATCTAGCCCATAGTCTATCAACAAGATTTGTCTCTTGTACAGCTACAAAGTTAGTCCTTGGAGTAGCAAGAGGCGCTAGCAGCCCCCTCCCCAAAGTCCTTGTTTTTTCATTTTATTTACATGGTATATTTAGCTGCCCTCCTGTATATGCAGAGGAAACAGTGTAGCAAAGTAATCAGTCAGATCTAACCCTCTTGAAAAGATCACCAGCAAAGAAATAAAACCAACCCCTTTATGTTCCCTGTCCTCATTAAAGAGGTCATTGGCAGACTGGAACTTATTGAAATTAGCCAAGGCTCAAGTGTAGTTGCTGAAAGGATACTGAGTGCACTTTGGGCTTGTCTAAATGGCTTTACACCCATTAATGATACACCCATTAATGATTCTTGTCAGGCCCAGGGAAATCTCCTCTTGTAGCAACTGCTCTCCAGTGTCAGGTCACAGCATAACCTGTGCACCTGCCTTAGGGTTCCCAGAAATAGTCCAAACAACCTGAGTAGGAATAGCCCTTGCAGGGTTAGTTTATTACAAAGGAAAGCTCCAGCATCTCTCCCCACACTCATGTCCAGGTGTCACACTGGCATATCTCATTATGCCTCCCCTCAGCTTTCAGCCCCCTCTGGCTTCAGCTCTCCCACTCAGAATCAGCAGGCATCTCCCTTGGCTGCTCTCCGACTGCAGCACTCTCAGGCCATGGTCCTCTGGTTCAGGAAGCTCAGCAGGCTTTGCCCTCTGCTGCTTCCTGCCCATTCCTTCCTCCTTCCAGGGAGGGGCTGCATAGCTTTCTGCAGGTTTTCTCAGGGCAACTCTCTTCTGTACCTTCTGTTTCTCCTGTGTTCAGACAGCCCTCATCTGCCCCAGGTGCCCTCTTAAGCTTAATTGGAGATCAACTGACCAGACACATGTGCACTGGCTTCTTCCCTCTTCAAGGGATATTGGTGTCACAAGGTGACACTAAAACTTCAGAGGCCAGCAGCCATCACATCTCTCCCTCCACCCACCATCTCTTCAAAATGGACTAGCAGTGGGGAACTGAGCTCATTGGGAAACAGTAACATCCTCCCCTTGCCCACCTTGGCAAGGTGAGGAGTCAAGGATGATATGCAGCATGGCTGGCTGTTCCTCCAGTCACTCATCTCCCCTTCGAGTTGCCTCATAATGGGCTGGAAATGTGGTAAAAGAAGAGCATAAACATCTGCCAGCTCCCTTTGCTACTCAATCATGTGTTGTATTTAATTAGTTTGGCATATTTGCAAACAAAACATTTAAAATGAGAGTTTAACCCAAATTTTGAAAACTTCAGAGATTGAAATGGTTTTTCCTTTCTGCTTATAAAATACCAATTACTGTAGAGTTCTGAACTCAGCATATTTCCTTGTGTATGGGAAGTACTTCATGCAGCAGAAAAGGTATTAAAAGCTTTCAAGGTCATTGGGAGCACCAGTGTGATCAAAATCCAACCGCCATGAAATACTAATGGAGGTAGCATGGTCCAGCAGGTAGGAAAATGGAGAGGGAATCAGGGATCGGGCACACCCACTTTTCTAAAGCACTTCAAGAGGTACAGCTGTGCATACTAACCTACATGTGTTATTAATAAATGAGCTCCAACAGAAAGCAATGAGTGTTTTATTTCAAGTAAATGTATCTTCCAATTACAAAATTATTTAACAAGTTACCCTAGTCTACAATACATTGTAATCTAGTTATAGCTATGGCAGTGACATTTTTAAAGTGTTATGTTTCTGCATGCTAGCATTTAACATGTCTTGCTAAAAACTTTCAAAATCCAGTTTCACAGACTAAAGCCAAGAAGAGCCCATTATCATCTAATCTGACTTCCTGTATAGCTCAGGTCATTAAATGTTTGAGTTATGTGAAGTTTACAGCTATATTGAGCATGGCTGAGCTACTATACTGTTGGTGCAGTGATTTTTAGTAACCACATAGTGATTAGATGTTGAATATTTTCTTCACCTGTGCAACGTACTTGTCATCTGCTGGTGATTTCCTTTGGCTACCAGGCTGCAAGAATTTCTTAATTGTGGGGATGTTGCTTATTCTTCCTTTAAAAGCCTAAAAGAAGAAGCAGTAAAAAGCCTTTCAGATTAAGGAAATGACATTCAACTTCATAGATTAAAATTCACAATGTATTTAACAAAAAATTTGCATGAGCAAAAAAACACACAAAACAAAACAATTGGTAGCTATTTGTGGCCAGATTTCCAGAAAAGGTCAGTACTAGAGCTGGCCAGAGGATGAGCGTACGTTTTTGTGGCGACTTTCAAGGTTTCAAAATTTGTTTTGTTCCAGATTGTAACCTTTCTAAGGTGTTCACACAAATGAAATTGTGTTAATGTCTGTTTTCAATTTGGGGAGCAACAGCATGTGACAGCATGGTGATTTGGGCACCAGCCTAGGACCTAGAAGACCCAGGTTCAAGTCCTTGCTCTGCTTTGAGTTGGTCAGAGCAACTTGAACCTGGGTCTTCCACACCCCAGACCAGTGCATGAGAGTGTCTCCCTCTAAAAAACCGTCTTCATCAAAATTGAAAAGTCTCTCTTAAGCATTTTGGCTTCAATGCAGGGGTTTTTTTTGCTGAAAATGTCCTGAGCAGCTCGACTCTTTCCACAGCATCTACCACTGAGAATAATGAGAGCTCAAGTGCTGCAGTGGCTCCAAGGGCTTAAACATCAATACTTTACATTGGGCAACAGAGTCTGAATATAAGTGTATGTTCCTTGGTGAGATCAGGCGATTCAGTTACCTGTAACTGCGGGAATG